AGAGGCTGCTCTGCAGATCCTAAAAGATGCCAACTCCCCCTGCTTCCTCATCCCAGAAAGACAAGGAAAAAGAGAAAAGATACCACTGAGAGAGCTACCGGCAGGGGAAGTGCCTTCCTCAGGGACAGCTTTGTTTCATTTAGGGCAGGAAGGTGCATCTATGAAAAATTATGAAATAGACAAGCCAGGAGTAGAAGATAACAGTGTGAGAGATCAAGGTTTGGGGGGGGGTAGATATTTTGGGCTGTAATTAAGTCAAGTACAGGGAACTGGCTGACCTCAACTAAAAAGGCACCCAGTTAGTTAGGCAGCATTTTGCTTATTCATTTGAATGTAAAAGGCTTGAATTTCCTTAAATTTTTCCTTTATTTCAAATTTTTCACTTCAGAAAGACCTTCTTCCTCTATCAGTGAAGTGTTCCTACTTCCATTTTTTTAAAAACACCTAACTTTTCTAAGTTAAAATAAAAAATCAGACCACATTAAAACTAAAATACCACGCAGGGTTCTAAATGTGTTTTGTAATATTCTACTTCCCACTGTTAAGATAAACAGACTAAGAAGGTAGAGTGAAAGAACCAGTACCACCAGAGAAACAAAATCTACATAGAAAAGAACATTTCAAAACAACCTGAGTAGCAAGCAATTTTAACATAAATTTTTTGAAAGTTCAGACATTGTTAAAAGTATCTCCTCAGAGAAATGGAATTCATCTTAAGACAGGGCAGATTCAAATAGCTACCTATCACACTTACTCCTGACCAAGATATATAAACAAATACTATGATAAAGACATTTGTAAAAAGTACATATAGACACACATGGATCTCAAAGAGGAGTTCTATCCTAAGAAACTAGGGTAGTCTTTTTTGCCTTCTCAAAAGCTGGCATATAATGATACCATAAAAATAATATTGGGAACTTGGTTCCTGGTAATAACATATTTTCATGTGTATCATTTCCAGGTAAGATACAGAAATGATTTCTATTTCTGAATTGTAAAAAGAGAAAGTAAAATATTTCCAATGGATGGTTTTGCTATTACCACTTAAACTGTTCTCCACAAAGGCTAGTATAATCTTTAATTCTTTAATTACACTGACTTTTATATATGGTTGGTTTAGGAAAAGGGGAAAAAACTTTTATAACTTATAGGAACTATGTAACTATTTCACCAAATTCACAAAAACAGTTTAAAATAAAAATCTTTGATCTTTTAGAAATAGTCTCTATTAAAAAAAGAAAAGAAATAGTCTCTATTATTTACATATTAATAAATGCAGCTTTCTGGGTTTGAACTTAATTTCTTATACATCCCTACTGAGAAAACTCACCTTTTGTTCCATTTCTTTCAAAAAAAAATCTGGTACATTTTACATACAATAAAATAAACAGAACTTAAGTGTTTAGCTCTGAGTTGTGACAATTAAATATACACCAGTAGCCTCAAGTGAAAATGTAAAAACATGCAAAATACTCCCATCACCCAAGAAAGTATTCTCCTGTCCCTTTCTAGTCTATTCTCCCACCACTGATATTTATAACCAAAGCTTTTTCACTCAACATAAAGTTTTTGAGATTCATCTGTGGATCAGTAATTTATCTCTTTTTATTGCCAACCCATATTTCACAATGAATATACTACAATTTTTTTTATCCACTCTCCTGTTGGTAGATATTTTGGTTGCTTCCACTTTGGGGCTATTATAAATAAAGCAGGTATGAACATGCTTGCAGAAGTTTTCTTATGGATATAGGTTTTCAACCCTGTTCCACTTCTAAATTCTTCATTCAAAATTTGCCCTTTCTGGATAAACAGAGCTAATGCCTTTAATCCTGTCAGCTCTGATGCGTCTGTGTTACTCTAGAAAAAATATTGATCATCTTCGGATTCACTACTTTATCTTTAGGAGCAAAACCCTTATGTTTCAAAGAAGCAACCAGGGTCAAGGAGGGAAGAGCTATTATATTTAAAGTTCCATAGCAAGCTTTTAAAACTACAAGTAAACTGTTTCTGACTTTTGAATAGGAAGATTTTGTTGTTCTATTTTAAAAGTTTACACAACAGGGAAAGCTTTGTTAAAGGTCAAATTATTGGAATAGACTATACTTCAAAAGTGTGGAATCACAGAAATTTATCTTAAAAGACTCACTGTTAAACATGTGACCTAAACAAAAATAGATTAAGTTGTTTCTAATAGATAAGGACTGTCTGTAAATACTGTAAAGTGATTAAGGATCTCCAAGTGTTTACTAAGAATGCAGAGTCATCGTGAGAGGGCCAATTACTTTACAAAAAACCGCTAGATCTAAATAGGGAAGAAAAAACAGGCAATAATAATGTAAGCTATAACTGTTCTAATTTTCACAAATAAAAAATGAGAACACTTTTGGTGTCCTAGACATTTTAAACAATTGCTGAAAAGTTATCTTCCAGGTTTTTGTTTCAACAAGTGTCTAAGTATGGATTCTAGAAGTAAATGTAATTAGCTATTACAATCTACTCTGAAGGGAAGACTCAGAGTGGAAATTGGTTGGTAGAAATTTTCTTCCACAGTACTCCAAAACAGATTCTTCAACTGTTATATTGTCATTGTCCATTTTTTCATACAGCAGTTATTACAAACATGCTAATACTTCCTAGCAAATAAACAATACAATGAGAAATAGAGTGACACACCTAATGGAACTTAAATATATATTTTTAAGACATTTATCAGAGTTGTCACTAGTTCTGAGAATCAGTCCTCAGTTTAAATATTTAACAGCTTTGAAGAGGAAGTTACTATATATTATTGAATTAAGGGAGAAAAGGTTTAGATTGAGTTTCCTTAATGTCTTTAATGGGAATTAAATATTTGTTGACAGTAGAAATCAAGAAAAAAAAGGTTCTAAAAATCTAGTCACGAAATCATAGACATACCTTCTATCTGTTCCAACTACACTCTTATTTACAGAAAACTGAATTTAACATAAAACCAGCCACCATTAGAATCAACGCATAATTCAGGTTTCACTGGGCTGGGGTGGGAGTAAGACGACTTCTTTCTTGACTTGACTTTAAAAACTTGTCAGTTAATTTGGGCAAATTATTAATATAAGTTAGCAAATGGGAACAAATGTCACAAAATGATCACATTCTTTTGAGCTCCTATTGCCAGGTGGTATCGTTTTGGTGAATACATTCAAGTGCGTAATTCAAAGGAGGAAAAAAACTCCTAACAATTGGTTCAAGGCTACTTACCACTGAACAGTGTGAATAAGATACATATATATACAAACATTGCAAATTTCCAACTGCAGGGGGATGGTTAGGCCTACAATGACGTTCATCTAAAATAGGATTATGTAGTTGTTAGAAAAAAGATGAGGAACACATTAAAATATGTAAAGCACTAAAGCAAAAGCAATGATAAAGAGGAAAAAAACATCAAATTTTTATTTAACTGCAGAAAATCTGTTACAATAGGATCAAAAGATTTTGATGTTTATAAATACTTAACTTGAAACATTTTCATTTTATGTTACTTTTTTATGCTGCTTCTGTTTAGATGTTTCTTTTAATGTCAATTATTCAGTTACCATGCTTTCTATTCAATGACATGCTTCCTACCAAGCCATAATTCAAAGAATCTCTAGATTTGGAATGTCATCTAGTTCATCTCATTGAAATCTACTATCTGACTCTGCCTTTAAAAAATATATATATGTGTGTGTGTGTGTGTGTGTATATATATATACATATATATATTTAAAAAAACAAAACCACCAAACAGAAGCCTTACTGTGTGTTGGAGCTGAAATCCATCTCTAAATAATCTTCACTAATTTGGTCCTAGTTCTGTCTTTTGGTCTACAGAAAATAATATTTCTTCTTCTTCCACCAGTAAGCCTTCCAAAAGCTGTGTTTTATGTCAGCTATCATGGAACTCCACACTGCTCCAGGCTAAGCAACCCTATTTATCTCAAAATTATCTTAAATTCATGCTTCATTCCCTGACATTCAGGACAGAGGAGTTCAAAGTTTGCCGAATCGATATGGTTCCCCCCCCCCCCCCCGCCTCACCATCCTAATCAGTCTCAATCAGGTTTACAAATACCCCACTCAAAACAAAACAAAAAAACAAATATCCCACTCACACAACACTCAAAACCCAACATCATCTTCCAAGTGTTGACCACATTTAATGAAAAGAAAATTTTCGTCCTTTAGATATGAAATCCTGAGTTGTGGGTTCTTTGTGGGGTTTTTTGTTTTGTTTTGTTTTGTTTTTGTGTGTGTGTGTGTTTGTAAAGGAGGGCTGTTAAATACAGAATGTCACATATATTCATCAAATCGTACTACTAGCCCCCGAAGGCTCTCTGGCGAACTCCCGTTACCTCAAGTTACCTTAACCACCGCTAGGCCCACAGTCAGGGAGTTGACCTCAAATGCCTCCGGGGCAGTGCAAGCCTTCCCTACGGGAACGGAGGTCACTCTCCGACGCGGTCACCGAACAAGACTGCCAGACAGCTCACTACGGCGTGCGTGTCTGCGTTTCTCTCCCCCCCACACACACACTCACACGCGATGGGTCAAACCCCGCCGAGAGCTCGGGACGTCTGATTCACAGCCCCTCCGATAACGATGACTTATCCTACTCTAGCATAAACAAGCACACTGCGGCGAGCGACGAGACATGAGAGGTCGCGGCCCGCACCCCGTCTTCCGTCACGGAAAGACACGGAAGAGCCGCTAACGCGAGGACCAGAGGTGGACTCCCGCGCGCCCCGCGGCGGCTGCGCCTGCGCCTGCGCCTGCGCCTGCGCCTGCGCCTGCGCCTGCGCCTGCGCCTGCGCCTGCGCCTGCGCGCGCCCCCGCCCTCCGCGCGCGGGGTCACGGGGTAACGCGCCGCTCGCCCAGCCCCGCCCCGCCCCTCGGCCCGGGGGATGTTAAGACCACCCCCGGCTCCCACCTGGGGAAACCTGCAAGGATGGGGACTCGCTGGAGGCGGGGGTTACCTGTGAGCCGGGCGAACCCGGTAATGCTCTCGGGCACAGGGAGCCGCTTTAGATACGCCGGGAGCTGCACCTTCACGATGCGGGCCACGCTCTCCAGCACCATCCTTGCCAGCAGCGTCCACTCCCCTCCCGCCTCGCGCCTCAGCTCCTCCCGCGCCTGCGCCCAGACGGGAAGCGGGGGCGGGCGCCGCGGCCTGGGTCCCGCGGCGGGCAGGAGGGGCAGGAGGGGGCGGCGCCGGGGGCCCCCGGAGGAGTGGTTGACCTGCTGGGCGCCGATTGGCGGCGGGCGAGTGACGTGCGTGCGCCGCCGCCGAGGGGGAGCGCGCGGCCGCGAGGCGCGGAGCGACGGGAAGGGCCGAGGAGCGAGGCCCTGCGCGGACTCTGGATGTGGAGGGGGTTCTGCTTGCACGTTGGGCCTCTTACAGCTGTGGACCCCGGAGGCCGGCAGAAAGGATACCGTGTCCGATGAGATAAAGCATGTGAGGGTGCTCTGTAACCGGAAAGTGCCTTTCAAAAGTGAGTTTCTCCTGGAGTCGCTTTTCCCTTGGGCCTAGTCTGGTCTCGGCCCCTTCTTCCCGGAACCGGTTTGGGCGCCTTGGCCCCAGGACTGCACACTTCTGAGAGCACCCTCCCCTTCTTCCCCGCGGTGCCTGTCTCGGTCCCCTCACCCCTACAAGACAGGTTTTTTTTTAAAAAAAAAAAAAAAAAAAGAAAGAAAAAATACCTAAGCGACGAACTGCTTAAAGCTAGCCGCTCGGCAGTTTTCTACAACCCTGAGGGTTTTGTTTGTTTTGTTTTTGCCTCTTAGATATGACCCGTGATAGTCCTTCTTCAGATACTTGCAGTTCCTTCTGCAGACCTTTTTTCTTTTTTCAGTTAACTAAAACTAGGAAGGTGGTAAAACAATATAAAAGCTTCAGGTGACTTTTATGTTGCAGGATTTCTGCTACAAGCTCAAGTATCCGTGAAGATCATTACGTTTAATTATGTTTCTAAATATTTTTTTAAAAATTGAAAAAGGGAGACAGCTTCATTTCCTTGCAGCGTCTTTCTTGACGTGACTTTCCTATTTTTACTGAAGTGAAATATCCGAAGTAATGCATTTGCTGACTGCATGTTGTGTATGTGGTTTGCTGACTTCATTCCGTGCCTCCTTACGGTTCTGAACTCCACCTGACCAATAACCTGTAATTCCAACGAACTGCTCCTGGTGCAGTATTTCATTTTGTGTGACTTAGTAGAACAGACGATTGTATTAAGTACGTTTTCTTCTTTAACTTTTCCTTGGTATTTTTTCATTTTAAAGTGAGAAAGGGAAGGCATTTTTCAAAACTTGTTCTCTGGACTCGAGTATGTGATGGCTTTTCACTTAAAAAAGATAACCATCAGTATGAGAGTTAGTTGAAATCTAGATATACTAATTTTCACTCACTTTGCCCTGTTCAAATACAGTTACAATGGAAATTCAGTGAGGATGTTTAGGTACAGGCTCATGAACTAGAACAACATAGAAGGGTATATACAAAGTGATGATCAAAAGGTTTACCTTAGGATTTCCTTTCAGTTTCCTTTTGGGAGCTTACTTTTGGTTTGGTGAAAGAAGGACCTTGAAGCTTGTTTATTATGAATATTCATATTCTCAGACATATTTGTCCTCCAGATTGTTCTTTTTAGGGGTTATCTTTAATCTCTTTTGATCAAGATGTAGAAGTACCCTTGGGGAATAATTGAAATAGGGGTGACAAGACATACACATGGCCAACAAGCACATGAGAAAATGCTCCGCATCACTTGCCATCAGGGAAATGCACATCAAAACCTCAATGAGATACCACCTCACACCAGTGAGAATGGGGAAAATTAACAAGATAGGAAACAAATATTGGAGAGGATGTGGAGAAAGGGGAACCCTCTTGCACTGTTGGTGGGAATGTGAACTGGTGCAGCCACTCTAGAAAACTGTGGAGGTTCCTCAAAGAGTTAAAAACGGAACTGCCCTTTGACTCAGCAATTGCACTACTGGGGATTTACCCCAAAGATACAGATGCGGTGAAACAGCAGGACACCTGCACCCAATGTTTACAGCAGCAATGTCCACAATAACCAATCTGTGGAAGGAGCCTCAGTGTCCATCGAAAGATGAATGGATAAAGAAGATGTGGTCTATGTATACAATGGAATATTACTCAGCCTTCAGAAATGACAAATACCCACCATTTGCTTCAACATGGATAGAACTGTAGGGTATTATGCTGAGTGAAGTAAGTCGATCGGAGGAGGACAAAGATTGTATGGTTTCACTCATACGAGGAATATAGGAAATAGTGAAAGGGATCATAAGGGAAAGGAGAGAAAATGAGTGAGAAAAATCAGAGAGGGTGACAGAACATGAGAGACTCCTAACTCTGGGAAACGAACAAGGGGGTGGTGGAAGGGGATGTGGGCAGGGGGTTGCGGTGACTGGGTGACAGGCACTGAAGGGGGCACTTGACAGGATGAGCACTGGGTGTTATACTATATGTTGGCAAATCAAACTCCAATAAAAAATATACAAAAAAAAAAGAAGAAAGAAATAGAGGTGCCTTGAGAGTGAGGCAAATTACAGCCCTTAAATATTTGTTTCTTAATTACAGGCCGCGTAGCCTTGACAAGGGCAAAACAAAGTGTGTTGAGTGAGATTCTTTAGACTTCGAAGGTTTTTCTTTAAAGGAATTAAAAAGTAAATACTTCAGTTAAGAGATTCAGTATTGTAAAATGTTCAGGTGCCAAAGGTACAATTTGATGTGACCACAGATCAGTATATACAGAATCTATCCAACACTCAAGAGAGCTTTGTGCCCCTTCCAACCATGTACCCCTACCACCACCAACACTACTATTGTGTCTTGCTTTGCATGTTCTTGAACTCATATAAAAGGACTTATATACAGTACACAGTTTTTTGTTTTTTTTTTTTTTAAGATTTTATTTATCCATGAGAGACACAGCGAGAGAGATATTGGCAGCGGAAGAAGCAGGCTCCCTGCAGGAAGTCCGATGCGGGACTCGATCCCAAGACCGCAGGATCACGCCCTGGGCCAAAGGCAGACACTCAACAGCTGAGCTACCTAGGCGTCCCATAGTATGCAGTTCTTTTGTGACTATCTTCCCTGAGCAGTTTATGTGCATAGCAGGTTTGCTCTTTCCAAGTAGAAGAAATGTAGTGAGTGGAAGTCTGTGATCTACAGATCTTTCTCTTCCTTTCTTCCTCTCATCTTAAAATTCAGAGAAGATGCATTGCATGAACTACATAAATGTATACAAGGAGATAGTTAATAACCCCACCAATAAAATTCTTACTATGTTATAGGGAATATATTTTTAGATTCCTTTTACTTTAAAATTTAAATCTTGTTTCAGTCATATTTTTTAATATGCATTTCAGGGATCCCTGGGTGGCGCAGCGGTTTGGCGCCTGCCTTTGGCCCCAGGGCGCGATCCTGGAGACCCGGGATCAAATACCACGTCGGGCTCCCGGTGCATGGAGCCTGCTTCTCCCTCTGCCTGTGTCTCTGCCCCTCTCTCTCTCTCTCTCTCTCTCTCTCTCTGTCTCTCTCTATCTCTCTCTCTGTGTGACTATCAAATAAATAAATAAATAAATAATAAATAAATAAATAAATAAATGCATTTCATTCCCACATTCTTGGCAGTACATGAAATAGAGGGGCTGAACATAATATCCTACACAGTAGTGACAGGTTTATCTAACCACTTTCTGACATGGTGTCCGACAACATCTGGTTTTATTAGTGTTTATTTCTTATATTTAGATGCCATCTTTATTTTTTTTTTTAAGATTTTATTTATTCATGAGAGACACCGAGAGAGAGAGAGGCAGAGACACAGGCAGAGGGAGAAGCAGGCTCCATGCAGGGAGCCGGACGTGGGACCCTGGGCCAAAGGCGGCGCTAAACTGCTGAGCCACCTGGGCTGCCCTAGATGCAGTCTTTAAAAGACATAAATGTCCTTTATGGTCAGAAAAGGCCAGACAAAATAATATGTGAATAAAGTTAAAAGAGTTATTTAGTGTTAAGAATTTGAACGAGAATCAGTAAATCCTCTGCCTCCTTTGTGTCCTAGCTAGGTCCATGTCTCTAATTTCTTTATGTATGTATGTATGTATCAGAGAACACACGTAGGGGGAGCGGCAGGCAGAGGGGAGAGGGAGAGGCAGGCTCTTGGTGGAGCAAGGAGCCTAATATGGGGGGGGCTCCATCCCAGGACCCTGAGGTCATGACCTGAGCCAAAGGCAGACTCTTAACCCACTGGGCCACCCAGATGGCCCCCAACTCTCTAATTTCTTTACAAGTTTCCTTCTATAAACTTATCTAATCCCATAAATTCAGATGTGATCAATAAATTGATGTAGCCCAGATCTCTATTTCCAGCCCAGACTTCCCTTGTACTGCAAATCCCAAATGCCTTCCGGACATCTCTGCATCTGTGCCCATTTTGCTAATGCTTCATTCACCCTTCTCATTGATTTATGTTTTCTGGAAAATAATAAATTATAAATTATTGGCTATATTGGTTGCCTGTCTTCTTCCAGTCTAAGACTTTTCTTTGACCTTTGTTTATGGTGTCTTTTCTTACACTGAAATTTAGTCTTAATGGAATCAGATTTATCTTTTCCATTATATTTTGTACCCTGGAGATCTTGTTTAAGAAATCCTTTCCTACCCCAAATAAGATTTTTAACTATCATTTTATTAAAAGTTTAAAACTTTTATTCTTCATAATTGTTTTTAATCAACCTGCTTTTGTGCATGAGATAGAGATCTAAATTTATATTATTTATGTATGTACAATTAATTGTTCTAAAAGCATTTATTGAATAGTTTAACTTTTGTTTTATGTCACTGATATCAAATCAGGTTTCCACACATCAGTGGGTAGTTTTTCTTTTCCATTGGTCAATCTGTATGACATCTGTGACACTATCATAATTGCTACAGCATTATAGTAGTGTTAATACCCAGGAGGATATTAACAACAGTTAATATGCACATATTCAAAATTATCTTGGGAATACCAGTTATAGGTAACTCTGTATGAATTTTAGAATTATCTTGTTAAGAACTATTGAAAAGAGTTTTATTGAAAATTTGTTAGAGCCTCAGCTTCTCCTCTGTAATATGCTGGTATTAATGGTTGTTATGACTAGATATAATTGTTTTCGTGTGTGTAATGAATG